AGACAGGCCCTGAATACGTTTATACGGGTTCAAAGGGAATATTTTGGGGCGAGCCTACGGGCTCGGATACACCCACGTTAAACTCGTCCTTGTGCCACATACATTCCTTGTGGGGACTGTTAAATATAACAGTCGACCAGACTATTTATTTATATCAAACTCTCCGCCTTGGCGGAGAGGAACTCGGACGAGGCTTTGCTGCAGGGCAAAGTTTCGTCCGGGGAGGTAGACAGTCCCTGAACCCGTTTAGGCATGTTCAAAGGGAATATTTTTTGGCGAGCCTAGGGGCTCGGAGTACCCACAATAAACCGACCTTGTGCCACATACATCCTTATGGGGCGACTATGAAATATTAACAGTCGACCAGATTGTTTAGCTGTCGAACTCTTTGCCTTGAGCAGAGAGGAACGTGGACGACGCTTTGCCGAAGAGCAAAATTTCGTCCGGGGAGGTAGACAGGCCCTGAACCCGTTTTTGCGGCTTCTAAGGGAATATTTTTGTCCGAGCCTACGAGCTCGGATAACCAACGTTAAGCTCTGCCTTGTGTCACATAAATCCCTCGTGGTAGGTGCTGTTAAATATTAACAGTAGAATAGAATAGGTTTAAACGACCCACACTCACTAGTCATGTAATACTCTTCTGTTGTACTTACTGTTTAATATATGATATATCTGTAACACTTTTTTTTTGTTATTTCTTTAACCATTTACTTGGTCACAACAATACTTACCTGGCACAGGGATCGTCCCTAGGCTGGTGGTATCACGGCTAGGACTAGTTTGGACCGGCTCCGGCCTGGACCAGCTAGGACAAGCCAAGATCAGCTCTGACTAGCTTAGACCAGCTCTGACCAGCTTGCACAAGCTATGACCAGCTAAGACCAGATCAACGGCCCGAGTGAAAACATTCGGATCCCCACGTTAAAAACTGACCTTGTGTCACAACCTGACTCAGTAGGGGGTCAAGTAAATAACTACTTGGTCACAACAATATCTTTAAAACTTAAAATTTGATTTAATTTCAACCATTTTTAACATCTGAGTTAATCTACCTGCTTTTTAATTTCGTGGCGTCCTGCTTGATGAGGTATTTTATTTTCCGGTGCCGTTATTTTAAGAGATGAGTGAAATAAGATACAGGAAACGACGGGTAACAGATAAACAAATTAATCTGTCCGTTATTGTGCTCTTAAAATTATTCCATCAGGAAACAACGGACTTCGTCATTTTTTTTATATCTATATATTTGAAGAAGCCATTTTATGTGTCAAGTTTAAATATTAAAGTAGCACTAACTTATAAATGTTGCTTTATCTGGAACAAACTAATTCATCTTGTTCGAAAACAGTGAAAAAAATAATTGAATTCAAGTCACTAGCACAGAGCTTTTCAAACTGATGTGCAACGAAAATTCAATGTCATTATCCGTGCTTTCATTAATTATTAACTAAATTTTTTATTTAATTACTTCTTTCTATATACATTTTTAAACACGCAGACAAACATACACACACACATATATATATATATATACATACATCACATAAATTTTGGTATCTGTCTATATTTCTGAGATGAGGTATTATGCACACTATTTACATTATTCAGACTATTGTTCTCATCTTTGTTGCCATATTTATTACAACGTTTCGGCCGTTGTACTTCCCGGCCTTCTTCACGTGGTTGGAATGTCGAACTGAACCCTTTATTTCGCTCACTGGGAACAGTCTAACTCAGTGAGCGAAATAAAGGGTTCAGTTCGACATTCCAATCACCTGAAGAAGGCTGGCGAGTACAACGACCGAAACGTTGTGATAAATACAGCGACAAAGATGAGGACAATAGTCCGAATAATGTAAATAGTGCACATAAATTTTGCATTCATATTTGTCACGTGACTTCAAGTTTCACGCTATGAAAAGGCCCTTAGACTGTTCTGAGAAATAAAACAAAACAAAAAAAAGAAAAAAGGAAACGACCCTAGTACCAAATCTTATGAAGGAAAATGCGGAAGATCTTTAAAAAGAATCGATGACACGTAGAAAAAGAAAGGAAACAGAGAAAAATAAACAAACAAAAAACACCCCAAAACCTGAGATATTAAAATTGTCTGGGTGATTACGCGAATTTATTTTATTTTTCCCGTGAGGTCGATTCTAAGTCTTATTTTTTTTCAACTTTTCCCCTATGGGCTACGTATATTATTTTGTCTTATGTGAACTGTCAGAGGATAGCTTCATAACGTGAAACTTGAAACCACGATGTATCTGATTTTCTTAAACGGGCTTCCATCATTATATTCTACTATATATATATATGCCGGATGTAACAGCAAAATTGTGATTAAGCTTTAATCGTTGTATATTACAAATGATTAAAGATATCTTACTGGAATTTTATGAGCTTTTTATAACACTATTGGGCTCTACATTGCGTAATAACAACAACTGTTTAAAGTAAAAATAAAAATGGGACATATATTTCAAATACGAGTATCTAG